ATCCCCAGAGCCAGTTTCCACCTTCCTTGCTGCGTGATTAGGTCAGGGGGCAGCCTTCTGTGTAATTGTGTAACTTCAAATGCCCCAGGCCTCAGGGTGGGGTCCCTCAAAAGTAAAGGTGAAAACACCTTGGCCAAAAAAAAAAAAAAAAAAAATCACACTTCTACCCACCCGCATGCCTCCCAGACGTTCCTGTGGTATGTCCAGCTTTTCTCCCAGACATGAGGAGGTCAAAGGCTCTGAAGTGAAAATGCCACAGCCACTGTGGCTGCATGAGCCTTTCGAACCTGAAATCCACCCTCCCTGCGTCCGTACCGGAAAGAGCCCTGAGTTGTATTTTATTGTTTTTCCGTTTTTGTCTTCCGTTATTTTAATACCACCTCCACCCGTAAAACTGTACTGTGAACTGGAAGAAGGTTGAATTTTTAAAATTTGATGGAGACTTTTGGCAGCCGGCTCTCTTTACAGTTTCACTTCTGGCTGTGTTCAGGGACTAGGAGTCGCCATTTTGGCGGAGGCCAGGGAGGCGGCCCGGGAGCAAGAGCGGCCCCTGCGAGCTCCCTTTGCCCTCCTGTGCCCGAGTGCTGCTTTGAGGTGACAAATAAAAGCAATTACAGCCTTAAGAGGGGCTTTATTGGAAAGGCTTACTGCAAGGCGGGGAAAGGGAACTTGTGATCTGGGCATGGGCTCTAGCAGAGGGAGACCGCTCAGGGGGCCTCCTGCAAGATCCCACGAGCATCTCAAAGCTCAGAATGAAGGGGCCTTTTCTCTGATCACTGGAGTGGACTTGGCCAGAGAGAGCCGCAACAGGGCCATCCTTGTGCTCAGCCTCCCCGGGAAGGGGCTGCTGTGTGTTGGGTGCTGGCTCAGACCTGAGTGTGGGTCCAAGTTCAGGTGGGGAGAAGAGGAGCCCAACTAAAGTCTGGTGGAGTTAACCTGCCCTTTGTTCAGATGGAGCTGGATAGAAATCTTTTTAAACACTAACTTAGCCTGCCAGTTTTACAATGGAAATGTTTTCCTTAAGAACTGGGGAGCCATCTCTGAAATGTAAACCTCAAGGGGCTAGCACCCCTGTCTCCCTGTCTCCCTGTCGCTGGGGGATTTTATCCCAGGTGCCTGGCTCCAAGTTGTAACTACCTACTTGCCATTCATTCTTTTTAGCCTCGTTGACTTTTCCCTAAAAGCCACTTTTCTGCCCCAGCTCTGAGATGCTTGCAGATCTTACAGGATTGGCGGAGCCCCTTCTCCACACTGCAGTAGCCCCTTGCTGTCTCTTGCAATAATCCTTTTGAATAAAACCTCCCCTCGCCTATGTCCAAATTTGTTCTTATTTGGCAAAGGGTATGGAAGACTTGCATATTTCACACTGGGGACCAGTTCTAAAGTCATGATTGTGTTAAATATGTGTATAACAGCTCTGCTGGACACCCAAGGGAATGCCAACTGGAAAGGTGCCCCATCCCTAGGGAAGCTTGCTAAGAGGGGTTCTGTAGAATCCAATCCAATGTCCCCAAAGTCACCCTTCTGTGCAGCCTCTCACACCATCCACTGTGTGTACGTATGTGTCTGGGATCTAGGGCAATGTGAATTTTCTTTTTATTTGGAGATCGTTCACGAAAAACAGATCCTTTTCTCTCTTGTCCGCCTATTAATTGTTTACAATATTTGTACATCTATGCAAAATACTTGAATGGGCCATGGTGCCTTTTTTCCTTGTTTGTATTTAATTAAAATAAATTGTCATTTGAAATGCTGTCTGGTTTGGCAGCTCTTTTTTGTTTGTTTTAATCTCCCCCTGCTCAGCCTGGGTAGGATCCATCCCATGAGGACGCGGCAGAAGAGTTCCCACAAAGACCATCAGTCCACCTGTCGGGCCTGAAGCCACAGAAAAGCCCTGGGTTTTCCCATGACCAGTTGAGGGGGCTGTTTGTCTCTGTACCTGGACATAGGCTGGTCTCGTTTAGTTGGTTCTTGGGTCATAAAGGCATGAATGATCCTGGGATTCTCTGCTGTGTTTCTTGTCTTGCTACACTATTGTGTTTAGGAGACAACCAAGATCCTGTGTTCGCCTCCTCATCTTATTGCTATAGGTCAGATGCACATCAAAGTGGGGGGAGACTTGCTCAAGGTCTGTTGGGCTGAGTGGGCAGGTACAGAGCGAAGGCTGGGGTTGAGTAGGCTTTTGGAATCCAGATCCCTGTGTGACAACAGCTCACATCCAGTAGTGCCTCCGAGTCTGCAAAAGGACCTCACCCTTATTCTCTCATTTGATCCCCACCTTAGTTCTAAGGTTCTCCAAGAGAACATAATAACCACGAGAGCAGGTTAACATCCACTGAGTTTTGAGCTGGCATTGTATCCTACTTTCTTTATGTGAATGATCTCATTTAATCCTCACAAAAGCCCTGAGAGGTCTTTGGGATTTGATTCTATTTGTCTAACTTCTCAGGGCTTTGAGATTGCCTAAGGATTTCAAAGGCATCAAGCACAAATGCTTTGACTACTGCAATGCCTGCTCATGAAATTAGCCCCTTACCGAAACGCTGCTGCTGGCTTAACACCATCATCTAAACCAGCCGCCAGTCCTAGATTGGCCAGCAACAGAATGCACAAAACCTGGATGGACAGACCGAGGTCCGCGTCCCAGCTCTGCTGCTTACTAGATGCGAGAGAGTGGATGAGTTCCAGAACCCTAAGCCTCTTTCTGCTACACTGTGGGAGATAACCGTGGGAATAACACCTCCCTCAAAAGTGTCGTGATCAGGGGCCCCTGGGTGGCTCAGTGGGTTAAAGCCTCTGCCTTCAGCTCGGGTCATGATCCCAGGGTCCTGGGATCAAGCCCGGCATCGGGCTCTCTGCTCAGCAGGGAGCCTGCTTCCCTTCCTTTCTCTCTACCTGCCTCTCTGCCTACTTATGATCTCTGTCTGTCAAATAAATAAATAAAATCTTTAAAAAAAAAAGATTTTATTTATTTATTTGACAGAGAGATCACAAGTAGGCAGGCAGAGAGAGAGGAGGAAGCAGGCTTCCCGCTGAGCAGAGAGCCCGATGCGGGGCTCAATCCCAGGACCCTGGGATCATGACCTGAGCTGAAGGCAGAGGATTAACCCACTGAGCCACCCAGGCGCCCCAATAAATAAAACCTTAAAAAAAAAAAAAAGTGTGATCATCAGGGAAGTGCGCCCCGTGATAGCACCCACCTGTGCCGGGCACAAGCCAAGTGCTCAGAAACTGCTATGACAGTTTTAGAGTTGCTCTTCTGGACATGTCGGGGGGTTCATTTAATTCTGATCTGGACTGAGAGCTGGCCCCCAAACGTTTGGGCAAAGAAGAACTATTGGAACAGAATTGTCCCTACGTTCAAAAAATGTTTTTAGGAGTGCCAACTATGTGTTGAGCAGTGAGAATAAGAGCAAATAAAGACCAACTCCCATGAGGCTTCCGTCTACAGGAGGGAAACAGCACAGATCACAGAAAAGAAAACAATAAAGTAGTGCCAGCCTTCTTTAGTCCTTTGGGGAGATGTACTGCCTGGTCGTTAAGACTTTAGGCTTGGAGCCGGATATCAACTTTGAATCTTCCTGACTGCGTGACCTTGGGGGATTACTTAACCTCCCTGTAACCCTTTCCTTGCGTATAAAACGGGGATAAAAAAATGTATCTACCTTGGGGGTTTGTGAGGACTTAAAAGAATTCACATGAAGCTCTTAGTACTGTGCCCAGTTCCCAGTATGGATTCAGGCATTAACAAGGGATGCATATTTTCAATGGACTATTCCCAAAACGGTCTTACCCACTGCAGGGAGGGGGTGGCTGCAAAAGCTACTGTAGGGACTTACTTGGCAGCCACAACCCTCCAGAGATTGGGTACCAGCCCCCAGCCCCATACAAACCAGTTTCATTGTTCTGCGTCCAAAGAAGGCCAAGACACAAGTATTGAGTAAACATACTCGGGGTCTTTATTCTTGACCCCGCAGACCACACTCTCAGGGCCCTTCGATGACTGCCATTCTCAAGATCCAACATGTTGCATTGATTTTAGCCACAGACAGAAATCCACATTCATTAAAAACTGGGAATTTGAGGCTGGAGGTGTAGGAAGCCAGTCTGTCGGTCAGAGGAGCCTGTGGAGGTTCAAGGCCAACAAGAGTCCAGCCCGGGCTTGGCTGTGCTCAGGGGAGGGGGCGTCAACCCAGGACACAGGTACGGGGTTATACAGGGAAGTTCTACGTCCCCACCCCAGGGGACAAGGATCAGCCTTCCTTCTTTATAGACATACTGGCTCTCTTACTTCCCCTTCAATGGTCCTTCCACCAACACCTGGAGCTAGAAAGAAGACAGGAAGCAAACTCTCTCTCTCTACCTGCTCTTGTGTATTGAATGCTTCTGGTCAAATGTGAGGGGACTAAAGGTGGTCCCCAAAGCAGGTGGTGTTGGAGCAGTCATGACCTGCTATTTCACAGGGCGGGGAGCTCATCAGTGGCCCTGGGAACTTGGTGGCAATCAGATCAACAGCCAGAATGCGCCCCATGCCAAGCTTACAACCCCACAGGTCACTAAAGTTCAAGGTGGATCCCACTGCTCAGGCATCTGAGGCTATAGCCCAGAAATTACCCAGAGGCCCTCCCACCTGGATTCTTGGTTGGCCACCAGAGTAAACACAAAAGTTAGCTCCGGGTTTCTAGACGGCTTCTGGCTGCTTTCTGCCAATTTCTGACGTTGCTCCTCCCTCTCCCCATCTCCACAAATCATATTTTGGTTGACTCCTTGAGGAAAAGGAAAGTGTATTCCGCCAAATGCTATCACGACAGCTGGACTACTTTTAAGACCAGCGCAAACACGGTTCTCTTTCCAGAGCAAGTCGAAACGAAACACTGGGCTGCTCCGGTGCGGCTTGGCTGTGGAGGATCTTCTGTCGCCATTGTTCTTGTCCTTTTGTCTTGAGTCCTAAGGTAATTGCCCAAATGTCTCAGTGACGACTCCTTAGGACAGAGAGAGAGATAGAAGGGGCAGGTCTGGGGACGGACGGAAACTAAGACGCTGACCTCCAGGTTGGAGTGCTCAGGGAACGGGGCTGCTGCAAATGGTCCCTGAGACATCAGGTGGTTTTCACTGTAAGAAGGTCAGCCGAGGTCATGCTTTTGTCCCCAGAGCCCGAGTGGCAAAAGCAGCAGGACGTCTCACATCAGTCGTCAGTCCTGGATGGGGAGGCGTGAGGAGCTGCTGTCTGGGCCTCTAGCAACACGCTTCCTCCTTGGGCGGAGGAATGGGATTCAGTCTCAGGAGAGCAAGAACTAAGGATTTCCCGAAAACCAGCATCTCAGGGAAGGTCTTGGCCTTTGCTACATTCAACGGGTCAGATTCTCCCTTCTTCCCCACAACGCAGGGATGGCACCGAGGACACAAGTGGGAAGGGAGGTCCAAGGGACCTGTTGGCACCGATGTATTTGGTCGCTGAGGCTGTTTCCACAAAGTTCTGCCACCACCACTCACTGGGTAGGGAACCTTCTTCTGGAAACAGTGATGAGGTATAAATGAACGTCTCAAGAAAAGAGAGCCCGCTGGTAACAGTGGGGGCGAAAATAACCAGGTGCCTCTGAAATGGAGAGGTCAGGCTGTACCGTAGAGCTCATCTTCTCACTCACTGATTCCAAGTTTTAAGAATGGATTATAAATACTCTGGGCTTCTCTTCTGGTGATGGGGTGCTGGAGAGTTCTATATTGTCCACAAGGACATTCTTGTCTTCCAGTCTGATGACCGTGGGCTCAGGGGTGGGAGAGGGGGTTGGGTTTTTGTGCATGTGGGGCAAGCTGGTCTGGTTGATGTCCAGGTCTTTGAAAGCGTGAAGCATGAACACACCCAGAATGATGGTGACAAAGCCAGAAAGGGTGCCCACAATGTCCACTGCAGACATGCTCTGCCATTCCTTGAAGAGGATGACTGAGGAGGTAACCACCACTGTGGTGAAAAACACATAGTAGATGGGGAACACCAGCGAGGTATTAAAAATGTCCAGCGCCCTGTTGAGGAAGTTGACCTGAGTGCTGAGAGAGAGTGCCAAGATGAGGGACAGGATGTAGGGGAGGGGGTGCCGCACCACTGGCATCCCTTGGAAGAAGTTCTTGATGGTGATGCCCAGGCCCTTGACAGCAGACACGGAGAAGGCTCCGATCACAGAGCAGATGATGATGTAGACAAGGATATTCCTTTGTCCGTAGCGTGGGGCGACGATGAAGATGAGGATGAGGCAGAACACCAAGAGAAGCACAGCAAACACGATGTACCCTTCAGGAGGGGTGGGAGACAGATAACTGAGCTGCAGAGGGGGTGCTTAGTTTCCAGAACCTTCTACCCCTGGTCATGGGAGATAGCACTAAAAACTTAAGCCCTAAAGTCAGACAGACATAGGGTCCAGCCCCAGGTCACAACTTTTAAATAATTTGGGCAGGTTATTAATTAAAGCGCAAAACCTCCATTTCCGTATTTGTAAAATAGAGCTAATAATAGGACCTTTCTCATAGATCTTTTTTTGTGGGATTAAATGAGATAATGCAAACTATAAGACTGTGTCGTTCCCCCCACCCCCATTAATGCCCAATGTGATGGTATTTGGACATGAGGCCTTTGGAAGGTGGCACCCTTTGAAGATGGCACCCTCATGAATGGGATCAGTGTCCTTATAAAAGAGACCCCAGAGAGCTAGCTCCCTCACTCCTTCCACCATGTGAGGACACAGAGAGAAGTTGGCCATTTATGAATCAAATTGTGGCCCAAATCAGGGCCTTGATCTCGGACTTCCCAGAAGTATAAGAAATACACTTCTGTTGTTTATAAGCCCCCCAGTCTGTGGTATCCTGTTACAGTGGCCTGAAAATACCAGGACAATGCATAGAATGTATTTAGAACCGTGCCTGGTACATAATAAACACAGAATAAATGACATCAATACACATCAGGCTGGGAAGCCTGTGAGCCAACCCTAAGATGAGCCCTCGCCCCCCGACTCCCGACTTTCCTTCTTTAGCCTCTTTCTCCTCCAGGTGGCAGCACCTGGCATGGTCAGCACCCAGTGAGACCTTCCTTGGGGTTCATCCCCTATGCTTTCCAGCTTCTGTGGGCGGGACGGGGCGTAGTCCTACCTGTGTCTTTCATCTTGGCAGCCATCTCCACGACGGTGGCAACCTTCTCTTCCTCGGGGGCGTGTATCACCATCACTGTGCTGCCAGCCACACAGATCACACAGCCCAGCTTCCCCAGCAGATTCAGGCTCTCTCCCAGGAAGTATGAGGACAGGATGGCACTGCAGGTGGACATGGGAGAGAGGGATTAGCAGCCGGTCCTGTCCCAGGGTCCTGAAGGAAAATGGTGGCTGAGCAAGCATTCATGGAGAAGAACAGATCAGGACTCACTACTCTCCCCCACAAAATGTTTGAAATAGATACTTATGTATGGGAGGGTTCTGGTATGTGCTGGAGGAATGGACATACATGTGGATTTCTTTCACTGCAGAGACTAAAAGGATCCCCCAACAGAGATGTCACAAAAGCCCTCATGGCATTGTCTAACTTCCCACCCAGTAAGCACATCTCCCCGTAACACTACGAACAGACGCTTTGAGGCTTGGCTTATATACCTCTGATGGCAAGCAACTCACCCCTTCACAAAGCAAATGATTCTATCGAAGGTTCATTCTAATTACCAAAAGTATGATAATTTCTATTCAATGTCCTATTTCTGCTCCTTGAGTTCCTTGAGTTCGTATAGAACAGATCTGTTCCTTCTTCCATTTGTATATGTCAATATAAACCACCACAATGACAATTATAGGCGCTATGTCCTAGCATAATACCTAGTACATAATATATGTAATACATTACATATATTATGTACTAGGTATTATGCTATGAACCTTCTACTTATTTTTTTTAAAGATTTTATTTATTTATTTGATAGACAAGATCACAAGTAGGCAAAGAGGCACTCGGGGGTGGGGGGAAGCAGGCTCCCTGCTGAGCAGAGAGCCCGATGTGGGGCTCCATCCCAGGACTCTGAGATCATGACCTGAGCCGAAGGCAGAGGCTTAACCCACTGAGCCACCCAGGCGCCCGGAATTTTCTACTTATTATATCCCATTAACATCTTATAACTCTTTGAGAAGTAAAATATACTATCCCCATTTTATAGATGAGAAGACTGAGTCTCCTAAAAGTTAAAATAACTTGGCAAGGTCATACAACTAGTAAGTAGCAGGGTCAGGATTTTAGCTGAGTTTCTGTCTAATTATAAATCCTATGATTTTTCCTCTACACCTCATTGAAGAGAATTCCTGTGAGTTCCCTGTGTTTTCTCTTGCCTGGGCAAAACCCCCCCAGTTTCTTGCTATTCCTTGGTGATATGATTTTCATTCCCTCACATCCTCAGATGAGCTGGCAGAGGTGAGGGAAGAAGGGAGGGAAACTGGACAAGGCAGGTATGATCGCAGGACAGCTTTCTGTTTCTTTAGGAAGGTAACATGAGCATAGGGTAAAAGGCAGTTGGCTGATCTAGGACTGAATTACTCCCCAAAGTTCTGTTTAAGGTACCAAGAGAAAGGGGATTGATGTCCAAGCTCCTCTGAATGTCTTCCGTCTCTCCTCTAAAACTACCAAAAACACTGGCATTTGAGAGAGGCTGGGGGCATTTGCATAGGCAGGTCACACAGTGGAGAATTCCCTACCTCTCCCAACTCCCTGAGAGTGGAAATTCGTACAGTAATCAGATAGGCGACAGTGTAATCATGGCTACATCAGCCAGCTGTGTGATGTGAGTCATGCCTCTGTTTATTCTTGATTGTGTCAATGTTACAAAATTGTCATCAAGATGGTACAACAAAACAAAGGAAACTGTGTGTACTGGGTGTGGTTTGATGGGATTTACCAAGGCACCCAGGTTAAAGCCAATCATCACAGCCAGCTTCAAAGGGGGCTCCAAGACCCCCCTCGGTCCAGGAACTATGCTTACAGTTCGAGAGGAAGGTGGCAATGGGAAGCCCTTGAAGAGTTAGTCCTTGAAGCAATGCCCTAGGGATTATTAGCATCCGCACTGAGCAGAGCAGAAACAGAGGCTTAGGGGAGTTAAGGGCCTGGCCCATGGTAATGTAATTACTGAGTGGCTGAGCTTAAGGTCAGAGCTCAGGGAGAGCCAATCTCGAGCTCCTGCTTTCCAACTTGAATGCTGCGCCTACTGACCCACCAAGACATTGACGTGAGATGTCCGGCTTGGTGGCCCTGGAAGCCCTTCCAGCTGGTCTGGGCTTGGCCGCCCCCTCTATTGGCCATTCTTCTGAGGGGTGCTAGAGAAAAAGCAGCCAACAGTCCAAGGCTCGGGGCTAGGACCAGCACAGTGCCTCTTTCTGGGAGCTGGGACCGACCCAGGTCCCTGACTGCAAGCGGCAGGTGACCCCACTTATAGCTCCAGACTCAACAAACGGAAAATAGGAAGGAGGGAGAGACAGCAAGAGAGGAAATGATAACCTTATGAGGACACTCAGCGCTCCCAGAGGCGTGACGACGGTCGCAGGGGCAAATGCGTAGGCCCCGAAGTTGGCAACTTCTCCAGCAGCCACTAGGAAATGAAGGGAGAAAACAGGGTAGTGTGGCTTCGATGCCCCATCTCCAGCCCAAACTAACCTGGGTGGAGACAGTTTCATTCAGTGATCAACCATTCCCAGAATCTCGGGCCACATTCCCTAGAATCTTGGTCCATATGCTTTGCCCCTGGCGAATCTGATCGGAATGTCAGGCCCAGACGCTCCTGATCAAATCCTTCCATTTTAAAGATGGGACAAGCTAGGCCCAGAGTCCAAAGTCACATGGCATGTGGGTGGAAGGACGCCTTCCTATCCCCGAGGCATCTTGGCTTCTAGTCCAGGCCACCGTGAAGTATGCCTCGGGGACACCCGATGTTTGGTCTGTCTACAAGGTGCATTCTAGGAAGTGTTAATTGCCAAAGAAACATTTAGTTATTGATTCTCCAGGTACCACTTGGTCATGGAGCCATCTGTCCCAGAGAAACTGTGGGCAGGTGGTTAGAAATTCTGACATCCCCCCACAGCCCGGACGAGATGCATAGAATGTATTTATCCTCCACATTTGAGTTTCTAGTTTGCAGACTTCTGTAAGTGCATATTCTGTGTCTGCTGGTAGAGAATGACCTGGGTCTGCCCTTTGAGAGGATGAATGCGATGGCCATGACTAAGACTGGGATCAAAACCTGACTTATAAATGGAAAGCTGGCTAATTTTTCCATTTGAAAGAATTAGGATTGGAAAGCCAGCGAGGGTGGGTGGAAAGCGGGGGTAATGTGCAAATGTGTAAATCTGGGCAAACTTTAAGTGGCAGACCAGCCGTGTACTACGTCAGCCAACACACGGCCTATGGAATGGAAAACCTGGCTGAGGGGCGCCACAACGCTCTGACCGGCAGCTGGAGTCTCTCCATTTCAAGGGAAGTTGAGTAATGACACCTTTCTCATTAGCAGCTCTCTACAAGCCTCTCTGGGGATACAAGTTTCATGGATGCAGGACTGACTTGGGGTGGAGAATGTGATCCGAAATACGGGGAAGATGTTCTACCTGCAACGACTGCCAAGGTTTTCCCTTTGAGATTCACACTTCGCACAAAGACAGAAATATCCCCACCACCCCTCCTTTCGTGTCCGCCTCTGCCATCAGTGCGTCAGTGTTGTTAGGAAAGAGCCCACTTACTGGTGAGAAAGCCAGCCCACCACATGGCGTCCTTCAGGTAGCCATACCCTCCGTCCACTGTAGAAAGGAATGGGCACAAAGTCAGAACTTGGCCGTGCTTTCCCAGGTCCTTTCTCATCTCTACCTTAACTCTCCAGTCTTGAGGGGTTCAATATGTTTCCCTTGCTTAGTGACTTTATCCATTCCCAAAGTTGCACATACCATCTTTATACTGGCGTCCTTATTTCATTTATGGGTACTGAGCCTTTCTCCTGAGCCTAGATGAATGTCCAGTTGCTTACTTGATGTCTCTTGGATCTCCCACAGGCATCCCAAACTCTGTCCTAAACAGACCTCTTGATTATAAGTGCACCCTGCCCACCCACCCACCACAGGCAACTCAGTAAGTGGTACCTCCATGTACCTAGCTGCTTAAGCCAGAAACCAGGGAATCACCCTCGACTCTCCCACTCCTCCACCTTCTGGGTTCCATCCAACCTGCTGTTTCCTTCTCCAAAGAGCATCTCACATGTGTCCACTCCACTGCCACCACCCAACTCCAAGGCGCTACCCACTCTGGCCTGGGGTGAGGCCACAGCCTCCCAAGGTTCCTCTGGTGTCACTGCCATCATCCCTTTATAACCCATTCAATCAGAACAGCTGATGGTCTTTTAAGGATGTAAATCATACTGTCACTCCTCAGCTTGTAAAAGGCCAATGGCTTCCAAATACTCTATAAAAGACCAAAATCCTAAACAAGCCAGTTCATAGTTTTGACCCTGTTCACATCTCCAAAGGTACCTCTCTCCACTCTTCTTACTATTGTCTAGCCACCGGGGCTTTCTTCTAGTTCCTCTAAAATGAGGAGCTCTTTTTGGCCTTAAGACCTTTGCTTTTCTGTGTCAGGAATAGTCTTCTTAATGACATTTGCTTATCTCTACCCTTACTCTTCAGGGCTTTGCTTGAATGTTGCTTCCCCTAAGATGCCCTCCCTGACCCCTTATCTCTGTGATATCTCCCTTGGGATTCTCTTTATCACACCCACCTCTTCTCCTTCATGGTACTATAATTTGAGTTAATGTATTTATTTTCTGGCATTTTTCCCCACTCAAATGGAGACACTATGACACCCAAAATTGTGTTTTGGGCTAGAAATGGAGCTACAGTTGGAACGTCAGGAGTCTGCTTCCAAAACACAGTGTCTCACAGAACATGACACTGAACATGTCCAAACCTGAACCATCCTGATGCCATAAACCTGCTCATCCTGCATTCTCCATCTCAGAAAACAGTGCCCTCATCTCCCCAGTTGCTCAAGTCAGAAAGCTGAGTCAGTCTCGACTCTGTTTTATCCTCCCTTTGGAGCCAGTCAACACCAAACCCAGTATGTTCTGCCTTTGAAAGCTACCTCTGGACTCCACCATGGTCTCCGTTCCCACAATTCCCCCAGTCCAAGCTGTGCTCTCTCTCTCCCCTAACTGGCCTCCTAGGTGCTGTGCTTGTCCCCTAATCCATTATCCATGCAGCAACCCGGAATTCCTTCAAATCGTAAATGGAACCATGTCTGTCCCCTGCCTAAAACCTTTGTCACTTACAAGTGCGCCCAAACTCAGCCCGGTTTATAAGACTCTTTGCCATCTGGCCCTCCCCCGCCCTCCCGTCTCTTATCCCCCCCGCCCCGCCCCACTCCCAGCCCTCTGAGCTACTTTCAGCTTCTAACGTCACTCATGTTCTCTCACCTTGGAGCCTTTGCACACGCTGTTCTTTCTACCATGACCTCCTCTTTTCCCCCTCCCTTAGCCATCTCATCACTCAGGTCCCAGCTTCCAGATCACCTTATAGAAAACCTCCCCTAACCCTCCTGGCCTGGGCTTTTCACGCCCCTCCAAAATACCCACTAAGTGTCCTGGATTTTCCCCACGATAAAGAGCACGTCACAGACTGGGGAACAGTTGCCTGGGTCCCCCACTTGGCTCAATGTCCCATGGGTCCCGGGTTCCCATGTCCATCGTGGGACCTGGCACAGCAGGTATGCAGTGAATGATAATTAAATGAACGAATTCTTTTACACGTGATTCCTTTTCTCCAGAATGGGTTCATAGATACACACCTTATTTCCAAGCGAACAACTCCCTTGTGGACAGAGCCTCAGTCATTCTTTTGTGGCCTGTGAGGGGCTCCATCTGAGAGGCCAAGGGGCCACCGGAGATACCGGTGATACCACTGGAGATACCACTGCTCTGGGCAGAGGTATCTGTAGTCCCATTTGGCAGGGAAGTCATGGCTGCCCAGGATGACAGAGCTGGTAAGAAATAGAACTGGACTCGATCTGGGGTTTTGGGTTCCTGGCCCTGAAACTTTTCCTTATCTGTACCCCAATTAACTTATCTTGAAGTTCTCCAGAAATGTTGGATTTTTAAAGGGAGATCTCCTGAGGGTGGACTGGATTCCCAGCAGGATTAACAATGAACCCTTTGTGACCATGGAGGCTAAGCTCGCCAACTGCCGCAGGGGACCCCCGTGAAGGGAGGTTCACAGGGCTGGCTGGGGGCTCAGCACCCTACGCCCATCCTCCCTGCCAGGACCCTACCGGCCCGTGTGGCCCCGGAGGCCACCAGTCGCTGAAGGCCTTTCTTCTTGAGGATGACGCTGCTGCCAATGAGGAAGCTGGACAAGAAGGCCAGACCCAGACCAACGTAGAAGCCATAGTTCTGCCTGAACCTCTCCTTCCAGCTGTGAGAGGTGACATTGCTGGGCACCTGGGGGCTGAGGTCACCGACGATCTGGCACAGGACTTGGTGGGAGGAGCAGTACAGGCTGATCAGGGAACCTGGACGGGAAGAGCACGATAAGAGAGTCACACCGGGGACATCGGTGTGCTTTCAAAATCCTGGAACTGGCTACTGTTTCAGACCCCATAGTTCAGCCACAGTGGGCCTCCATCCACACAAGGGGCTTCAACCCAACAACCATAGATAGCATCCTCTGAGTGCCTACTCCCGGCTAGGGGTTTTATTTGTGGAACTCATCCAATTTTTATGACTATCTGTCAGATCAGTGCTGCCTTGAGTGCTCATTTCATAGACGGGAAATAGAGGCCATGAGATGTCAGGCACCTTGCCTAAGAACACAGACTGTCTGACTCCAGAACTCTAGCACGTGACCACTAAGGTGTTCTGATGCCCCACACACCCAGCAGGGTCCTCCAAGCTCTCAGACATCACTGACTCCAACCTCCCACCCTCCCGAGGCATCCCCTCCCAGCCTCTGGACCTCTGACAGCTCAGGATCACACAGGGAGTCTCCCCTCCAAGCGGCCTCTTCACTGCCATATCCCCACCTCCAGCCACAACTGAGACTGCTGATAGTTAACATGATGGAGTGAGGCTAGAACTCCCACAGCCCCTTCAGGGCCTGCAGGTAACTAAATATAAGCAGCCTGTTGGTTACAACTGACCATTCCTGGGCCTTATTCTAAGACCTCTGGGGCCCGTGGTCAGTGGCGGGGGCCTCCTTCCAGCCTCAGACGGATTACTGTCCCTGTCGCCCCATGGAGCATCCCTTTAGTTCGCCTTCTAAGTCCTAGAGATCCTGAGAGCCTGAATCAGCCCTCATGTCCCAGAACCCACCAACCCTTGCTTGCCTTCTGGCACAAACACTAAGGACAATAGGACAACCTTGGGCCCGAGGGGCACACCCTCTGTCAGGGGAGCTAAGTTGCCCAAGTTCAGAAAAACCACCTAAATCACAGCCAGTAATCCCCCAGCGCCAGGACCACATGCTCCTCTGCTCCGGGGTGTTCCAAGAGCATTCCTATTGTGGAAATGGCACAGGGATCATGTCCAGGGTTTTAGCCGAAGAAACTGGGGCCCTGATAAGTTTGGTAAACTGAGTAAGATGACACTGGCAGCACACAGTGAAGCCAAACTGTTCTCCGTGTGATGTCAAAGCCATGCTCTTAACTGCTACTGGTGCCCCACAGGGCAGGCAGCAAGGGCAGGCTGGGGCTTCGCTTCGTCTCTTGAGGGTTGTTTTAAACTATGAATTCATTACCTACATTTAAAATCAGATTTCCCGGGGCGCCTTGGTGGCTCAGTGGGTTAAAGCCTCTGCCTTCAGCTCAGGTCAGGGTCCCAGGGTCCTGGGATCGAGCCTTACATCGGGCTCTCTGCTCGGCAGGGAGCCTACTTCCCTTCCTCTCTCTGCCTGCCTCTCTGCCTACTTGTGATCTATCTGTCAAATAAATAAATAAAATCTTTAAGAAAAAAAAATCAGATTTCCCACGAAAATCCAGCTTTTGATCTGCCTCTGTTTACCTGATGGAGCGCACCTTCCCAGAGCCCACCACTGACTGCTGCTGAGAGTGGCTGCCCGCTTAGGACACGTTCTATGTAATTCCCCGGGGTCCGTATCTGCTGCCCTTCAATCATTTGGGTTATGTGCTCAGCCCCTGTAGGCATCTGAATTTGTGACCGCCAGCAGTAGAAGGTCTTTTTCAAACTGTGGGGCACAAAACTTCAGCCTCCTGTGCCAGGGATGGAAGCCTGGGCCAGGCACTTCCCCTCAGAGCAATGAGAACTACAGGCCGGCACTGGATGGGCCTCAAAGTCCAAGGTCAGGCAGCTCTGGCATTGGCGGTATCTGGATCATAGAGTGGCATCTTGGTCGAATAAAGAAAGAGCAATGTTGACCTTTCTTCCATGGCACAGAAGCAGAGAACAATGGTTCTGGAGAGCCCCGGAAGACAGGCTGGCTAACCCTCTTACTTGCAGCCAGGAAAACTGAGGCCCTGAGGAGGGGAAGGACTTGCTTGAGTCTCACAAAAACCTAGTGGCAGAGCTGGGCCTGGAAGCCACTGGGGACATCCATGTGTCTTTTGCAATGGGTGATCTCTCTTCCAAACACCTGTGTCACAATCAAGAGAAGGTATGACAAGAAGCCATTTCCATCCCTACTCAGATTTGGTCTGACCTCTCACTCCTGTTTCTCAGCTCAGACGGTCAAGTCTGGGGAGTTCCCTGAACGCAGGAAATGAGCCAGAGCCAGGATATGGGCCAAGGAAGGTGACTCCCTAGAAGAAGGCCAATCCCATTCCCACGCCCTTCACCTGCCTTCCTGAAGGCGCATCTCCAGGAGGTGGAGCCAAACAGTGAACTTGCCTGTTTTGGGGAAGCCTGAAGCGCCCAAGGCCTCAGCAGCCTCCAGTGAATTAAGTTTTCCCATAAGGACAGAAAGAAAAAGAGAGAGGGGGCTGATGGCCAAAGGAAATCCAGCTCTGGGGAGGATGCTCATTAGGCAAATGGCTGTTGGGCCTGGTGATTCCCATTTCTCTTCCAGAATATGCTAGGGCCAGGGAACATATTCTTCCCCAGAGGAAGGTGGGGCCAAAAATGGACTGCATTGTTGGTCAGGAAACCAAAGCCAGCTAACACCCACAGAGCTGTGAACACTTCTCTGGGCAAGAGAAGTTAGAGAAACAGCGCTCTCTGACAGGCTACCAGAGCAAGGGGAGGTAGGAGCATGGAGACACATCAAGAAAGGAGTATAGCAACATGAGTGCAGGTTTGAGAATCCAAGAGCTCTAATTTTACATTCCACTCCCCCAACTGCAGAACCTTTGCGCAAATTATCAGACTTTTCAGGACCTCTGTTTCTTTCTCCCCAGAAAGGAGACAGCAAGGTAATAATACCTACTTGCCCTCTAGAGTTAAGGACTAAATGAGATAATGCAGGTAAAGGGTCTAGTCTACCACCGCATTCCTGGTAAGAGCTCAACGCACAGCTCAGGGTCTTTCCTCATCCCTTCCTGGTTTTCTTTCCCTCATTTTCCTACAAGGTGCATTTGGGTTTGGCGGTGGTGAGTGTCTGCGTCCCTCTCCCTGGTCTTTGGTGGGCCCCAGGGAGACAACCAGACCCGGGCAGCTAAGAGAATCTGAAGCAACTGTACATAAGAAACCACCGTGAAACCCCCCACCTCTGGCTGACCAGCTCCAATCAATTATGCCTGCCTCCGCCTCCTCCCGCCCCACGCGTCCCTTTTCCTCCCATTCTCCCTCTCAGCTCCCCAGCTCCGAAGGTGGAGAAGTCAGCCAGAACGCTGCTCCTCTCCCCCGTCCGAGACCGGCCCGACCATAGGTCATGCTGACCCAGCCCTCCCGGGTTTGGGCCGCCGCAGGAGAGCACGCGAGGGAAAGGAGCAGCGGGGAAGGGAAGGCGCGAAGCGCGCGGCGCTCCCGGCTCCCCTGGGCCCGCACGCACCGTTCTGGCAGCTGGCGTTGCTGGCCGGCAGCTCCATGGGCCCCGGGCGCACGGACCGACAGACGGACGCCCGGGCAGCTGGCGCCCCGGGCTCCCCGGCTCCGGAGCAGGTGGCCGAGACTCGTCCCGGCTTGGCCGGTGTTCGAGAAGCTGCTGGGGTCGGACCCAGGGGTGGAGAGAATGACGCGCCCCGGAGGGGGACGGTCCCCGGGGAGGAGTCACCCCGGCGTCTTGGGCAACTGCCTGGGTCGGGGGCCCAGCGCCCGGGCTGCCCGCACAAGGGCATGCGCCCTCCCGGGGTGCGGAGGCTGCGGGGCATCCCGGGAGGGAGTCGCCGGGTTGCGGAGGACGCCCCCCCCCGCCCCCGGCAGGAGGCAAGGGGGCGGGTCCCCTGGCACCGCCCCTCCGCGACGCCCCGGACTGCACCCAGTTGCCTCGGCAGGGACAGAGTTGATGGGTCCTCAGAGGTGGGAGAGGGGGAGATTTCCTGGCCAAGGTGGAAGTGGAAACGTGGGAGTTGGAAAAGGCACTGCAGGGCACTGGAGCCCTCTCAGACTGGGGGTGGTGCTCTCGAGACCCTGGATTTTTTCCTGCCTGCCTGCCTTCCCGGCTTCCTACTTCCCTGCCTCCCTGCCTTGTTCATTCATTCAACATAGGACCGAACTGTGCTGGGCACTAGCACACCACAGGCACACAGTAAGTAAGTGCCCCCAAAATGGTGACTACGTCTTCGTGGAATGAATGGACGATAGACGCTTGAGAGAAGTATATTTCTTCTTCCGAGGGACTGGAGACCAAAATGTGTTAGCCATATTCTCTGTCCCTGGAGAACTTTATATATTAATGAGAGAAACAAAATGGGATTTATTATCTAGAAACTGGTGTCTTCCAAATCACCCAAAAAAAACCACCCCAACTGTGATTATAGGAACTATATTTGCTACTATGGGTAATAGTAAAAATAAATTAGAGAAACACTATTCTGGACCATAAAAACACTTGTGCAATGCTTGCTATAGGCCAGGCACTGTTATTAGTGCTGAAAAATCCCTGTTCGTTTAATCCTCATGGCAACCATACACAGTATATACTTGGGAAACTGAGGCACAGAGCGATCAGGTAACTTACCAGGTTTCCCAGCTAGGAAGTGGAGAGTGAAGATGGAGAGCATGCTCCCCATGGCTGCACTAATAAAATGCCTGGCATTTTAGCCCAAAATACACTTGTGCTCCTGAGTAGTGAAGACATGGGACCACCAAGAAAGCAGTGGCCGGTTTTGGCAATCATGGTCACTGACTTCCTGGAGGAGGCAGCTTTTAAAAATAGTTACTTACGGAGTCTTCGCTATGGGACAGATCCTGTACTAAACCTTATACACAGGACACCAGGGTGGCTGAGTGTGTTGAGTGTCCGGCTCCTGGTTTTGGCTGAGGTCATGATCTCAGGGTTCTGAGACTGAGCCCCACTTCAGGCTTCCTGCTCAGAGCAGAGTCCTCTTGATTCTCTTTCTGCCTCTCCCTGCCCCCCGGACCCTCCCCCTACACGTGCTTCTCTAGCTTTCAAATAAATAAATAAATAAATAAAATCTTTCAACCCTATACAGACATGACCTCTCATTTGGTACGTACCATTACTCTGTCCATGGTACAAGTGAGAGAAAACTGTACTTAAAAAAAAAAAAAAAACTTTTGGTTATAAAATAACTTTAGATTTGTAGGAGAGTCACAGAAGTAGTACCCAAAGTGCCCATATATCTGTTACCAGGATCCCTTAATGTTGACATTTTGTATAGGAATAGAAATAGCCCATATTTGAAATACTCAGAAACTTGCCCCGGAGTTCCCACAGCTAGTGAGGGCACCAGGAATAAACAGGCTCTGCGGCCCCCCCCCCCCCGCAACCAGCCTGTCTTCCCTGCCTTCACTTTCCACCTTTCAACTTGTGGCCTTCTAGCTGGGATGCAAAAGATGGGTTCTCCCAGCATGTGGCTTCCCCTAACTTTCTGGGTGACTTTAAACAAGTCACGTACTGTCCAGGAGAAACAGTTTCTTCATCTGTCAAATAAGAGAGCTCCTTTCTGTGTGTGTGTGTGTGTGTGTGTGTGTGTGTGTGTGTGTGTGTATGTGACCATGGGGTAAGGTAGGGCTTAGAAGGAAAAGGAAAATCACAGCTATTACTAACATTACACCTCGAAGTTCAAGGAGCCTTAATGCTCCCAGTCCTTCCCCTCACTCTGGAGGGATGTGGCACCAGAGTTCACGTGGAAGTGAGACCTCCAAGTCCAGTAGGAGCTGGAGCACAGCGCAACCGGAAACTGGGTGATCGGAAATGATAGTTCATTACGGAAGCCTCGAGGTGTCTGAGAAGGAGGATCGGACACGAGAATTTAATTGGCCTTTTTTCTTACCTAAGCATTTCTGCGGCTCAGATCTAACACGCACTACAAAACAGCATCCATCTCAGCCTGGCCGGAAGACCACGCTCAAACACTCTCCGCCTGCACACTAGACTGTGTTTGTTCCAAGGACACAGAAAAAGAGATCTGTGGTCTTTCTTTCTGGCCTGGGCTTTTTTAATCATAAGAGAGGATGTTTAGATTATGGTCACATTGTGCCAGAGCTGAGCCCAGATCTTGAGGGACAGATACACACGTGTGTGCTTTAATATATATGTTTGTGGATGGGTTTGTGATTTGTGAGGCCGCTACATTTTAGGTTTCCAGGCAGGGGCTCCCTTGTCCCGAGTTAAGGGCTTTCACCCTGTGCTTCGAGACAAGGCTTCTCAGAGGTCCGTGAGTTTCATGTTTTAGGGCAGTGGTCTGAGGTGGAAGGAGCTGGGATCTGCTGAAGGGCCTTCCACACCCTCTCTGGGCCTCAGGCTCCCCATTTGTTCTAGAAGGAGGCGGGGCTTCCCCAGGCTGGCATCAGCATCCCGGGAGCACAGAAATAATGAACCCCATTGAACCACAGTCTCCTCGCCTGCTGTCCTGACAAAGCCCTTTTCTCCCTGAGCCACAATAGCACTGTCAGGCAGGTAGCAGGGCCTGTAGCATTGTCTCCCCAGAAAAGAACAACAGGGTTCACTGTCTGTCCCAGGCTCGTTGACCAGGGGAGGGCGGTGGCTTTGGAAGGGTCTGACCAGTCAGAGACAGATGGGCTCTGTCCTTAGCCAGCCAGACTCTGGTGAACCAGTCACATCTCCTGTGGCCAGTTATCTCTGATGAATAGGAGAACTAATTTGCCGAAACCCAAACTCCCAAAAATGTGACCCTCCTAAGTGCATGTCCGAAAGTTTTATGGTCTAGAACTGAACTGTTAATATGGTAGCCACCAGTTCCGTGTGACTATTCAGGATGTGGAAAGTAGCTAATGTGAACTATGCTAAGTGCGTAAAATGGACACTGTTAATATTTTGAGCCACATAGTTGTTTGTTGTGGGGGGCTGTCCTATGCACTGTAGGATTTTTGGCAGTGTCCCTGGTCTCAAACCAGCGCATACACTGCTGCCCATTCCCAGGCTCCCCACATTATGACAGCCAAAAGCATTCCAGACAATTGCCAAAATCTCCCCAGGTTGCAACCCATGCAGATTGCAAGGACTTAATAAGAAAAACAATGTAAGCTATTAATAACTTTTTAGTATTGATCACATGTTGAAATGATAATATCTTGGATACAATGGGTTAAATGAAATTTATTATTCAAATTAATTTTCTCTACTTCTTTTTACTTTTTGTAAAGTGGCTACAGAACAATTTAAAATTACATAGCGGCTCACATTATATTCTATTGGACATTGCTATTTTAGAGGGCTTGTTATATGATGTATGCATGTAAGTTACGTGTATATATGTATACACATGCTCATTTCATCTTTGCAGCAATCCTAGGAAGCAGATTTTATTATTATCCCCATTTTCCAGATGAGGAATGAAGCCCAGGGAGGTCACTGAGCCTATAAGGAGAGAAGCCAAAAATCAAACACACACATACTTTTCAGATCTCCACATACTAAGTTTCCTAGGTCTAATAACATGCCATGAGGCTTGGGTAGGTCACTTCCCCTCCTGGCATCTTACCCCAGGTACAAGGGCTGGACAAGATGCAGCTTGTGGTCCCTTCCCACCCTGCAGAGCTGGTCTTCTGGGCAGGGCGGGGACAGACAGATGGCTATCACCTCCTTCAGACTGACCTGGAATCATGGGAATCTTGCCTGTTGGCATGCAGAAGCCGGCCAACTCCTCTTCTTTAGGTGGGTCCCCGGGATGGCTGCTGTTCTCATAAAAAGCTTTATTGTCACTAGAAATAATACTTGGGATGGTCACAGGCGCACTCAGACTGACTCTAAGTAGAGCACCATGCCTAGGGATGAGTCCAAATGCAGCTGGCATCAATAATGATGATTAAAACAGCACACTGTTACTGACTTCTTCCTCTGTGTGTTAAGCGCTTTGCAGGCATTGCCTCAAATGGTCATTGCAATCTGGATACCATTGCAATCTGGATACCATTTTAGGTCCCATTTTACAGATGGAGGAATAAAGGCTCAGAGAAATGAAGTGATTGTACCAAGGTCACATGCAATGGTAAAGACAAAACTTCCAGCTGGGCTTGTGTGTCCCTAGAGCAGCTCTCCTAACCAAGGCACTGGTTTTGGGAGATTAGAGGCTTCTTCCCAGACCTCTTCGTGGTCCTGCTGTCTATGGGTAGCTGGGAAGACCGGGGCCATCCAGAAGCCACACGGAGAGCCACACAACCTTCAGAGTTAGAGCTGAACTAATCAACCCTCGTAGTCTACAGGTGGGGAAACTGAGGCCCAGAGAGGGGGAAGGTCACACCCAACATCGCTGCTAACTCATGGCAGAATCAGAAACTTATTGATAATCACTCCAACCCTGATCTAGCACTTTTATATCCCACGATGCTTTTTTTATGAGCAGAAAAGATTGACCTTAGGGCAAATAATGAGAGTTATTATTTTTGGCCACTTTTTAAGCATGAGCCAGTGCACTAAGGATTTCATGTACCTGCTCCCATTTACTCCTCACAATAAGCCTCTGAGTCAGGTGCTGCTATGATTCCCATTTTAGAGATAAGAAAACTGAGACTAGGAATGGCT